TGTTAATCTCTGCCCTGCAAGGCTTTTCCTCCTTGCAAGCTCCCATCTGCAAAGACCCTGCCAGATCTTGTGAGGAGAGGTCACCTCCCTTCTCAGATGTCTTACACAATTCCTCTTTATGTGATCCTCATGCAACCTCTGTGTTGAGAAGGCATTCGTGGGACCAAAGCAGATTTCCTGCTTAGCAACCACCCTGCGGTGTTCCAGGGTTTCACAGCACTCTCAGATGGTCTTTACCTCAGGCCTCCTGTTGCCGCCTGATATCTATTTTACTGCACCAATATTTGATATAGCTTAGTTCAGGGTATAAACTTCAGTGTACGATAAGTAAAGCAAGCTTGTAATTATTTAACTAGAAATTACATAGTTCTGCCCCTGGCCATCTTGACCCACAGCGGAAGTCTTTGCAGGTTAGAGAATTATAATTATCTTGCTAATGTCAGTCTTACACTTGAACATGTTTAATGGACAATTGGTGGGGATTATGCTTGCTTTATACTTATTTTATCTTTGTATTTAGAAGCATATGATCGACTGTTTGTCAGTGGTCAGGAACAGGAATAGGCGGATAGCAGGGAAAGGGCTCGTCCCCTTTGCTGGGAATGATGTAGTTTAAGTACTATTTTTGGAGAAACAAATGCCTTCAGTCTGCCTGGCTCAGTGTTAGGGGGTGCTTTTGCATGCTGTCTTATTTAATCATCACCCTATGATGTAGGCATTAACATTCCCATATTATAGATCTGGGACTGGCACCTCAGTGTGGGTAAGGAACGTGCCCTGGTCACAAGGTCAGTGACTGTTGGGGCCGGGCTTGACTGCAGTACCGCCTGAGTGCTCACCTACACAGTATGAGATATTTCCAAACATCTAAAGCCTGGGAATGAAAAAAAAGTCCACTTGCAAGTAGAGGAGGAAATTGGAGGTGGCAGAACTAGAGAGACAGTATTTGCAGTGATCTACTATATAAACACATTCACTGTAACTTGTCTAAAATGCTCCTTTTTGGTGCGCTACAGAGGATAGTTTGTTCAGCTGCTTATGACAGTCTTATTTAATATACATGTGAACTTTTTACCATTTTGATGAAAAATAAGTCAAGCTATAAGATTTTAGAGATCCGATGTCTGTTTTCTCAGTTTATGAGAAGAAATTGAATATTATGGTAAAAGAGGTCTTATGTTTTGGGGATAAACCACCTTTTACTGAGTCCAATAAATAAACACAGTAGCCATTTTCTGAAAAGGGCTACAATCCCCTCCCCCCACAAAAAAAACAAAACAAAACCAGGAACCAACCTCAAAGTAAAACATCCCCGACCCTTACCAAGAAAAAACAACTTGTTTTGCGCAGCTTATTATTCAGCCTTAAAAATAAGTGAAATTCTGATACATGCTACAGTATGGATGAACCTTCAAGATGCCATGCTGAGTGAAAGAAACCAGACACAGAGGGCAAATGCGGTATCATTGCACTTACATGAGATGCCTTGAATAGGCACATTGGTGGAGGTGCAGGGCCTAGCAGTCACCAGAGGTTAGAAGGGTAAGAGGATGAGGAGTTATTGTTTAATGAGTACATAATTTTTGTTGGGGATAATGTAAAAGTTTTGGGTATAAATAGTGATGATTGGTTACGTAATATTGTGAATGCATTTAATGCCATAGAATTGTACACTATGACTGGCTAAATTGATAAGTATTTTACCACAATAAAAAATTAAAATTGAAAAATAAGGGTTTTGCCAAGATATTACAAAGGAGAGACATAAAGTTCTAGCCTCTATTGCTGGACCTAATACCTGAATATATTCTGATTCAACAACTTCAGAAAGTTCCTGTGTGAGTTCTTCTTTCATTAATGTGATAAATATTTAAGTAATAATACGTCATGTCAGACTCTGAGGGACTAGAGGGATAAGTAAGGGAGGTCTCCTGCCTGCAGGAGTGGAAAGACAGCCACATTAAAAAATGATTAAAATACAGTCAATGGGCTGCAATAGAAATGTAATGAATAGTAGGGGGAGCTCAGAAGTGCTCCTGAGGGAATCAGAGCCTCATAGAAGAGTTGATAATTGATCTGGATCTGAAGTTTCAGTAGGAATCGGGTTGCTTATTTTTTATCTCAATAATATGCAGTACATTCTCACTCCCATTTCCCACCTTGGAATCTTGGATCTAAGATATTTGCAGCCTTTTCAAATATTTTGTAATATTTTCCCCTTGGGTATATATAGCCAAATTGGCTCCTGGAGGTAGAAAAACATCTTGGATCACTTTCTGTCCTACTTTCTAAATATTTATAAGCAAAACCACTTTGAGAAATAATTCAAAGTAAATGAGATGTGTTCAGGTCCATCAAAGAGATTGTAATATAATAGGGCAAGGACAGCTGGGTAGCAAGTGCCTTAAAAAACAGTCAGTGTGGGATGACTGTGCAGAGGCAGGAGGAATGACTTCTGTTTGGGCATGAAGGCTTATTTCCCACTTAAAGTTGTGTAGAAGTGTGATAACTAGATGTGATGAAGGTGGTTTCATTCAAATAGGTGAACAAAAGCAGAAAAGCAAGAAAAAAGATGAATCATATTCAGGGAAACAATGAAAAGTGTTAGAAAGGCCCTTTGGGGCCAGATCACAAGGATCTCCAAACCTTCAATATTGTGCTTATTCTAAGGAGAGAAAGGTGTGAAGAGTCTTCACCTCTCTACCCATGTATAAGGGATGGTGGAGAATAAAAAGGGATCCAAAGGCACTGGATGGCATTGGGCTCACAGGTGGGGTAGAATGGGTTGAACTATTAATAGAAGTATGACCAGTGAAAAGAAGAATATGTTTGGGAGCCAGTTAGCCTTAGGTTCAAATCTCCATTCAAAATTTACTAACTGCAAAGTTGGCCAAATTAGTTAAAACTTCTGAGCCTCATTTTCCTTGTGTGACAAATAGGGACAATAATATTATCTTCATATAGGGTTATCAGGAGGATTAAAGGAGATGAGGTGACAGATACACATAGACTCCAGACCACTCTCATAGGCACCGGTTAGTTCTTTCCCAGGTGAGCTCTAAAGTCCCAGCTGAACCTGAGAGTCTGTGAAATAATTTAGAGGATTAAAAAAAATCCAAAAACAAATTATTCACATAATTGAAGTTAAAATATATAATCAATATATTTCTAGACAAGTAATAGAATTCAAGTATAAATAAAAAAATTACAGCCAAAATAGATTTCTCTAGTGCAGAAGCATATCTCCAGCAATGACTTTAATATTTTTGAAAGCTGAATTAACCATTTCATTCCCCCAAGTTGTACCGCAGAGCTCAGATCCATGTGTTTGGAAATGGTATCTTTTTGTCAGATCTAATATGAGGTCCTCAACTTTGCATGAGCACAAAGCTCAGAGTTAGGGGTTTACCCTGTGCAGAATGTCTTTCTGCTAAAGTGACTGCTAGTAATACTGGAAACTATCAATGCATGCTTGAAAATATCCACCATGCTTTCCATTAGAAATAGCATAGACTGTGGTACCTTCCCCTATGTCTTTATTAGACTTCATGACTTTATTACTAGCCACTTTACTGAATTCTATTTTCCTTGTTTTTCAGGTGAACTGCTTAGGTTTTCTATTTTACAATGATAGCAGCATCTGTAAATGATGTCTTCTCCTTTCTGACTATTGTGTCTTTACTTGTATCTCCTGACTTGGAGCTAAATGTTAGGATGATGGTGGCTGTAGGAATGGACTGATGGTAAGGGAAGGTGTGTAGGGTTTGATATGATATGGGCATATAGTTTGAATGCCATAGCACCTGTCATATCTTTCTTGTTCTCAGAATCACACGTATAGAAAATTTTGGGGAAAATGTCTTTTTCTATCTTCTTATTTTTTGAGATGGATTCTTGGCTCTGTCATGCAGGCTGGAGTGCAGTGGCGCCGTCTTGGCTCACTGCAACCTCTACCTCCCAGGTTCAAGTGATTCTCCTGCCTCAGCCTCTTAAGTAGCTGGGACTACAGGCACCTGCTACCAGGCCCAGCCACTTTTTTTTTTTTTTTTTTTTTGTATTTTGAATAGAGACCAGCTTGTCACCATGCTGGACAAGCTGGTCTCAAACTCCTGACCTCAAGTGATCCACCCGCCTCAGCCTCCCAAAATGCTGGGATTACAGGCATAAGCCACCGTGCCTGGCTGAAAATGTCTTCTTCACACGGAACTCTGAGCACATTAAGGAAAGGGTCTTTTCTAACTCACCTTTATATTCATTAGTGTTAACCCTGAGCCTGAACAAAACACATGTGTAGATATTTATGGGAGGTATGAGTAAGTACGTTAGTTTATCAGAGATCAGTAAAGGTGCTTAGCAATAAAGGTATCAATAAAGGATTATTCCAATAGGAAATTATGAATATCTTTTCATAATATCAGAGAACATTAACTGTTTAGCTGTCTTCCTAAAAAAATGTTCCAGTTACAATTAAGAATATTTGTCTTTTTTGTGATTTTTTTTTTTATGTAGGATAGCAGGAAGGGTACCAAAAGTCATATCCCATTTGTTATTAAAATAAAGAGGGGAAGCCCTAAAGAGGGGAAGCCCAAATTCTATCTAAATTGTTGGTCCAAGTGTGGATCCCTTAATTTCTTTTCTAATGTGTTTTCCAGTAAACATACAAATGCATAAATCCAAGAGTTAATGAGATTAATGGACTACTTTGTAACTGCCCAGGAGAACACAAAACAAAGGTAAAATTTGTTTATTATTTGTGGATGCTATGTCCTACTATTTTAAAAAATCTACTCTAATGCTATATACTAATGCTGTATAATCTCTTCATGGTAATTTCCACTCCACAATTTTTATATATTCCTATCTGAAATAATGTCTTATCTCTTCATATCACTTATGTATTTAATCATTTTCAAATGGTAGGATATGAGATGGGACCAAATAATGAGAAAAAGATTTCTTGAGAGAAATAAAATATGTCAAAGAATAATTTGTAAAACCAATATGGTAGAAGTCATATTTATTGAAAAAAATTAATATCTTTGCTATAAAATTTGTAACAGGAATATTTACTGAATGTTTATTTTGATGCATAAACCTGAATGTTACATACCAAGTACAAGACAATAACACTAGTTTTTCCTTTATTTACACTTTATGAAAATTGTTATGCAGTCCATGTTAAAAGAACTTATGATGGAGAATTGTTACATTAGAAAAATAATATTCTTGATAAAGCATTCTCAATGTGTCCAATCATATTTTCTGCCTCTTCAATAAGGCAAAAGTCCCTGGAACAGCATATAACTTAATTTACAAAATACAATAACTGTTTAGACACATATTCAAGTTTTCTTTTGGTATGATTTTCCCTTACTGTAAAATTATTTTTTTCTTTTTTTTTTTTTTAACTAAAACAAAGACTTTCAGGAAAATGTCATTTAATGATTTCAGCTATACATTACATATACAACTCTGTAGCCTAGCAACAATCATCGCTACACCATCATTAACTTTAAATATTTTGCTTGGTGAGCTATTCTCAAATGTAGCATATTTTACGATTTTGCCATTATGACTGTGGAATCATTGTTTGGTTTTCATAGGAAACAGATCTGTCACAATATGAAGCTTTGTTTATTTTAAGGAACTGGTACACAATTACATTTCCACTCACAAGAGAACACCACAGATATAACTAAAGGCAAGCTTTGATGTCTCCACAAAGGTTGCGTGCTGGACCAATCCCACACCTCCTGCTCCCCCAGTTGCACAGCCCTGGCCAGGTTCACATGGTTTCATTTCCAGAGATGTTTTGCTCTTCATAGTTAGGTAGTTTTAATTCCTTCAAAGGCACACAATTTCCATCTTTTTTCCAGCGTGGCTCCCACGCCTGTGAATTCCTGTTTGAACATGCGTGGCAGCCTCATCAAAAGCATTTCTATTTCATTTGCAGATATCTGTTAGAAAGGAAGAAAAGTTACTTTGGGGAAAGGAACTCATCTTAAAGGAGGAATGGATTGGGGAAGGATGAGCTTTTCCAGTGATATAAACAACATTTAGTTTTCTACGGGGCTGTCAGGGGATGTCCTTATAGAAGGACCATTCAGAAGTACTGAATGTGATTATCCCATCTCCCGAGCAGCTGGCAGGGTGGGGCATGAGTTGGATGGGTGGCAAGTGCCAAGTTCACCCTTCATATGGATGGCTACCTTACTGGCAGCATCATGCCTGAACAGCCCTCCTTGATATAAAAGGAGATGGGGAGGGAATTTAAGAGGGCTCAGAGCAAATCCATCACCACTCCTGGAAAGCTACTAATGTCTTCATCATCATGTTTGAAGGATAGCAATTTTCTTTAATGCTGCCAGGAGCAGAGGACACTTGGGTGGATTTCTTGCCACCCAGATTTCTTTCTCTTCCTTAACTTTCACATGGACCAGAGACCATGAAGGTTTAGGAATGGAATCTAAACTCCAAAACCTATAACAAAACAAGTCTTGATATGCAGTCATAAAATCCAAATATATTTTTTAATGCAACTTTTTTCTTCTCCCAATTTTTATACCAATAATTCATTTTATCCTAAAGAACAAATCAGCCACAATCCCTCTGCTCTAACACAGTGATGGCTTTTGTTTTCATGGGTTAACATGCCAATCCATGTGTGTGCATGTGGATTTTATATAGCAGTGTGGCCAATTTGGGCTCTGATACCGTTTGAACATCCCCAGAATTTAGGGTCTGATATTTGAATCCTGTACCTACCATTGTTACAAGTTAAATGACCCTTGCAAAGACAGTCTCTTTAAGCCTCAGCAAATGGGATATGACTGTAGAGATATCATTTTAGAGTCTGCACTTTTCATCTAACAATATTAGGATTCATTTGAAAGCAACACCAAATAGACCAAGAAGTCAAATTAACTGTTCATTTACTGTTCTCATGGAAAAGACTTCATATGATATGTTCACTATTCTTGGGCCTGTAATACAAAACTTTAAATAGAGGCAGTCCTGAAAATTGAATTGAATTCTGAAATTTTTTTTGGTGAATTATTTTGAAATCTGAATGCATTTCCCATAAACACCATATTAGAAGGATGGTTAGATTCCCAGGTCACCCGACAAAAGCCTGTGAGACAGATTATGTGAAGGTTTGTAATAACTTTGAGAAGTACATTTTCTCTCAGTGAGCATTCTGCAAAGCACCTTCACCAGTGTTCTCATTTAATTCTCACAGCACTCCTGTGAGATTTGTGAGCAGTTATTACAATGCATCTCCACTTTATAGCTCAGAAAACTGTGTGAACTGCACAGGGTTAAGTGTCTTATCAAAGACAGAACTTGGGAAAGAACCCACAGTGCATGGCTTGGGGCCAGGGCCTTGAATGGTGTGCCTGAAGCACTTCCCATGGTTGTCAAAGGCCAGGGGTAAACAACCCAGGGGTGTTGGGAGGTCTTTCTCAGTAGCAGTCACCTGGGGCACTTGTTAAAAAAAAATCAGATCCCCCAGCCAGCCTCTTCTCTGGAGACCCTGATTCAGCTGGTCTGGGGTCTAGCCCCCATAATCTATTTTTAACAACCATTCCAGATCATTCTTATTGTCAGGCATATTTGGGTTAAGTATGGGGACTTAAGCCAGACAAGCTTAGATTTTACTTTGGCTAGGCCTCAAGCTGTGTTACTTTGGGAAGATTACTTAATATTTATAATGCTCAGTTTCTTCAGGTGTGTAATAGAAGTCATATCTCTCAGAATAATTGTAAGGACTATGTGTAAAATGTAATACAGTGTCTGTTTATGGAATACTGATAGAAAATGACACTATTATCTAACCTTTTGTGGTACAGAGTTATATGTGGTCAAACATAGCTTTTCGTTGGTGCAGAAGACAGTTTTCTTTAAGCCTTATGAGACCAAGTTATCTTCTCAACAAGCTCCCTTCCTTTTGGAGGAGGACAGCACAAATCATCTATGGCAGTCTGTAGGTGCCAATTCAAGTGCCACCCCTGGCATGTCCTTCCCCAGATCCAAAAGAGGCTTTAGCAGAACAAAGTTAATGTGTAGGAAGCCAGCTGGGATCAGGAGAAGCAGTCCCACCCAGCAGCCTTACCTTACAGCTGGCTGTAAAAAGTATGACAACTTACAATTGCCTGGAAACCTTGCCGGACTCTTCTGAAAACACTATTTAATTCTGACACCCTCATAAGATAGGGAATAATTTACCTATAAGAAAACAAGCCCTGATTTTCTGCCAGGATGGCCAAATAAGAATAGCTCTGGTGCACAGTTCCCAGCGAGATCGATGCAGAAAGTGGGTTATCTCCGCATTTCCAACTGAGGTACCTGGTTCATTTTTAAATTTTTTATTGCATTTTAAGTTTTGGGATACATTTGAAGAACATGCAAGATAGTTGTAGGTACACACATGGCAGTGTGATTTGCTCTCTTCCTCCCCTTCACCTATATCTGGCATTTCTCTCCATGCTATCTCTCCCCAACTCCCCAACCCACACTGTCCCTCCCCTAATTCCCCCCAACAGACCCCAGTGTGTAGTGCTCCCCTCTTTGTGTCCATGTGTTCTCATTGTTCAACACCCACCTATGAGTAAGAACATGTGGTGTTTGATTTTCTGCTCTTGTGTCAGTTTGCTGAGAATGATGGTTTCCATATTCATCCATTCCCTACAAAGGACACAAACTCATCGTTTTTTATGGCTGCATAGTATTCCATGGTGTACATGTGCCACATATTCCCTGTCCAGTCTATCATTGATGGGCATTTGGGTTGGTTCTAGGTCTTTACTATTGTAAACAGTGCTGCAATGAACATTCATGTGCATGTGTCCTTATAGTAGAACGATTTATAAACCTTTGGATATATACCCAGTAATGGGATTGCTGGGTCAAATGGAATTTCTATTTCTAGATCCTTAAGGAATCGCCACACTGTCTTCCACAATGGTTGAACTAATTTACACTCCCACCAACAGTGTAAAAGTGTTCCTATTTCTCCACATCCTCTCCAGCATCTGTTGTCTCTAGATTTTTTAATGATCGCCATTCGAACTGGCATGAGATGGTATCTCAGTGTGGTTTTGATTTGCATTTCTCTAATGACCAGTGATGATGAGCATTTTTTCATATGTTTGCTGGCCTGATGTATGTCTTCTTTTGTAAAGTGGCTGTTCATATCCTTTGCCCACTTTTGAATGGGCTTGTTTGTTTTTTTCTTGTAAATCTGTTTTAGTTCTTTGTAGATTCTGGATATCAGCCCTTTGTCGGATGGGTAGACTACAAAAATTTTTTCCCATTCTGTTGGTTGCCGATTCACTCTAATGACTGTTTCTTTTGCTGTGCAGAAGCTGTGGAGTTTGATTAGATCCCATTTGTCTATTGTGGCTTTTGTTGCCAATGCTTTTGGTGTTTTGGTCATGAAGTCCTTGCCTACACCTATGTCCTGAATGGTTTTGCCTAGATTTTCTTCTAGGGTTTTTATGGTGTTAGGTCTCATGTTTAAGTCTTTAATCCATCTGGAGTTAATTTAATGTATGGTGTCAGGAAGGAATCCAGTTTCTGCTTTCTGTACATGGCTAGCCAGTTTTCCCAACACCATTTATTAAACAGGGAGTCCTTTCCCCATTGCTTGTTTTTGTCAGGTTTGTCAAAGATTGAATGGTTGTAGATATGTTCTGTTGCCTCTGAGGCCTCTGTTTTGGTACCAGTACCATGCTGTTTTGATTACTGTAGCCTTGCAGTATAGTTTGAAGTCTGGTAATGTGATGCCTCCCGCCTTGTTCTTTTTGCTTAGAATTGACTTGGCTATGCGGGCTCTCTTTTGGTTCCATATGAAGTTTAAGGTGTTTTTTTCCCAGTTCTTTGAAGAAGGTCATTGGTAGCTTGATGGGGATATTGTTGAATCTGTAAATTACTTTGGGCAGTATGGGCATTTTCACAATATTGATTCTTCCTAACTATGACCATGGAATGTTTCTCCATCTGTTTGTGTCCTCTCTCATTTCATTGAGCAGTGGTTTGTAGTTCTCCTTGAAGAGGTCCTTTACATTTCTTGTTAGTTGTATTCCTAGGTATTTTATTCTCTTTGTAGCAATTGTGAATGGCAGTTCATTCTTGATTTGGCTCTCTTTAAGTCTGTTATTGGTGTATACGAATGCCTGTGATTTTTGCACATTGATTTTGTATCCTGAGACTTTGCTGAAGTTGCTTATCAGTTTCAGGAGATTTTGGGCTGAGACAATGGGGTCTTCTAGATATACAATGATGTCATCTGCAAACAGAGACTATTTGACTTCCTCCTTTCAAGGGGAATGCTTCGAGTTTTTGCCCATTCAGTATGATATTGGCTGTTGGTTTGTCAGCTATAATAAATAGCTTTTATTATTTTGAGATACGTTCCATCAATACCTAGCTTATTGAGGGTTTTTAGCATAAAGGGCTGTTGAATTTTGTCAAAGGCCTTCTCTACATCAATTGAGACAATCATGTGGTTTTTGTCTTTGGTTCTGTTTATGTGGTGAATTATGTTTATAGACTTGCGTATGTTGAACCAGCCTTGCATCCCCAGGATGAAGCCTACTTGATCATGGTGGATAAGCTTTTTGATGTGCTGTTCCAATTGGCTTGCCAGTATTTTACTGAAGATTTTTGCATCTATGTTCATCATGGATATTGGCATGAAGCTTTCATTTCTTGTTGAGTCTCTGCTGGGTTTTGGTATCAGGATGATGATGTTCTCATAAAATGATTTGGGAAGGATTCCCTCTTTTTGGATTATTTGGAATAGTTTCAGAAGGAATGGTACCAGCTCCTCTTTGTATGTCTGGTAGAATTTGGTGGTGAACCCATCTGGACCTGGGCTTTTTTTGGGAGGTAGGCTCTTAATTGCTGCCTCAATTTCAGACCTTGTTATTGGTCTATTCAGGGTTTCAACTTCTTC